GCTTCAATCTCTTTTTGGACCAATAAGATTGTGGCATGCTTGCTGTCCGTGTAAATGATATTAGAAAGTTCACTTGCGACGTCAAATTAAGTTGTCTTGTTTTGAAGTAGATAAGTTTCTCTCAACATTTTCTACATACCTTGGCACGATAACTAGCCAATACAAATATTATAAGTGAATCCGTGTTAATTGGATGCAGTTTTGCCACTAAAAGCCTGAGGTTTCATGCTTTAAATGGTAATATGGAAAGATTGCATTCGAGACGAGTACTTGCATTGCTCGAGTATGTGTAACTTTTTTTTTATTATAATTGAAGTCATAATCAAAACCAACTCTAATATTCTTTTTTTAATCATGGTGTATCAATATATTAGGGAAACCATTCTAAGATTTTTGGGCCAGTTAAAGTTGATTGGATAAATTTTTCTAAATTAATGCAATCAAATATGTCACTGATGCTGAGGGGACCAATCCCGTCAACGATACTAACTGGACTCATGCCATGTTAGTGCCACGTAGGCAGTCCTGTTATCGTAAAACTTCAGAAGACCATAACTTTTGACTCGGATATCCAAATCAGATGATTTTTTTTTTATTTCACATAACTTTTCAAGATTTACGCAATGACACCTCATTTGACATATTTTATCTCCCACAAACATAGTTCGAATTTGTAACAATGGTTCCATAATCACAAGAGCGTTTAAATACTGAAGATGGCACGTGCGGTAGCTCATGGTGTTGGTTCGGAAAGAACTTAGGATCTTCTGAATTTAAATGATCTTGTAATTGTGGAACTATTGTTGCAAATTCAAACTATGTTTGTGGGAGATAAAATATGTCAAATGAGGTGTCATTGCGTAAATCTCGAAAATTTATGTGAAATAAAAAAAATCATCTGATTTGGATACCCGAGTCAAAAGTTACAGGATTCCGAAGTTTTACGGTAATGATACTGCCTACGTGAGCTGACATGTCATGAGTCCCTATCATTGACGGGATACCAATGACGTGTTTGAATGCATTAGTTTGAAAAAACTTATCCAAATAACTTTAACTGGACAATTCTTTTGCTCAAAAGTTCTAAAATATTGCTTTTGCCCAATATATTTTATGGGTTATATTTATCTTATGTTGCATAAGATAAACAAGTTTCCTACACACACAAAGTGGAGGTGGGTCCCACATCTTTTTTTTTCTCTCTTCTTACATGTGGGTTCCACTTATAATTTTATTTCTATAACATAAGATAATTATTTTCCTACAACATAAAATAAATATAACTCATGTTATATATATGAAAATGTTTGTCATTTGAAAGGACATAAATGAGAGAGAAGGTAAAAAAACCACTGGAACACAGTAGTTTGTTTTTTTGAAATACAAAAGTTTAAGTAAGGTTAGACGCTGGTATCCCACTAGGGTCAGGGGAGACCATCATGCTCTTTGAGAATTTTCGGAAGGAATTACATATCACCTACTAACATAATCATCACATCGGCTAGTGGAGTTTGAACTCACGCCTTTGTGTGGCATGGACCAAACACTTAGCCAACTATGCCCACCTTTGTTGGCCAATAGTCTTATTTAAAATGACACAAAGTTGTATACTTTAAAATGACAAATATTTATCAATTGATGGTATATATATATATATATATATATATATATATATATTGGGAAAAATGTCAATCATTTAAAAGGATGGTCCTTTTGTTATCAAAAAAAAAAAAAAAAAAAGGATGGTCCTTTTTAGATGAATGTAACGTGTTTTTTTAAATTTTAACTTACAAACTTTTCCTTCCACTCTCTTTTTTCCATAGTTTGTTCCTTTATCTCTGTTAAAAGGATATAAGTGTGTGTCCACTTTTTCGATATATTCTATAGAACTGTTTACCAAAAAAATAAATATTTTATAGGAGAAGTGTTTGTCCTTTTAAATGACACAACTTATGTTATTTCACTCTCACCGAGAGATGGAACGCACACTTCTATAATTTTTTGTTCACTCTCTATCCTCCTTTATCTATCTGTTTCTCACTTAAAATGACACAATTTTACATCTTTTTGAAATGATAGACACTTTTCTCGTATTCTATAATCTTTTCGAGGTCGAGCTAAGAAAAAAACTTCGCTACCACTAATAAGAAGTCCAACATTGGTGGCATCGTGCATCACAACAATATGGCATTGTGCATCACAATGCCAGAAGTCATAAAGATAATCTAGAAGATACTTTTCCGAAAATAATCTCATTTTCTTATTTTATATATATATATATATATATATATATATATATATATATATATATATATATATATATATGCCAGAAGTCATAAAGATAATCTAGAAGATACTTTTCCGAAAATAATCTCATTTTCTTATTTTTTTTTCATATATATATATATATATATATATATATATATATATATATATATATTTTAAAAAGTTTTTGGCTCAGTTTTTTTAAACATATTCTTTTAAAGAAAAACTTAAGAAAAAGCTTGTTTTCACCATGGCTATAAAACTTCTTAAAATTGTTAAAATTGAAATTTTAAGTAAAATTGAAAGGGGGTTAAAATATCGTAAAATGTAAAATTATAATGTAAAAAATTGTAAAAACATAAAAGCGTTTGAAATAATGATAAAATCGCTTTAATGAAAAAAATCTTAAAAACATAAAATCGCATTAATAAATCAAGATTTTAACGACCATAAAACTTCTCATAATAATTTCTAAGATTTTAAGCATGAATTCTAAATACTGTAAAACCATGTTGATTATGAATCCTAATAAGGAGGGCATTTAGTCAATAATTAAAAAAGGCTTTAATTAATTATCACGTGGCTAAATGCAACTAGAAATTAGAAATATTTATCTCATATTGTGTATTGTTGTTAAAATATTTTTTTATTTTATCCTATTTTAAATGGTGTGATTCATCTCGCAATCTTCAACACCTTAACTTCTATTTTCATAAAAGAAAATATATCTGTTATGTAACAGGACAATTAAAAAAATTTCACGCACTAACAAATTTTGATGGGCCTCACTATAAAAGAAAAAAAAATTTAAAAGAAATGCTAATGCATTTTCCGATGAGTTAGCAGGATTTATTTTTCTTGTTATGTCGCAGGATGATGTATTCCCATTTAATAATTCATGTTACAATTCGTCTCGTTTGTGAGGTATACTAAATCATTTTCAATAAGCGTGATACTTTATCTTGTTCATATCGCATAAATATGATATATTTTGCATAAATATGATATATTAAGTTATGATTTTAATAGTTACCAAAAAACATTATGATTTTACTAAAAGCCGATTCTTTGTTTGTTGTCCTTCGTATTTAATATGCTCACTTGGCAGCTTTTGAGTTCTCTAGTAAATTAAAGATATGGATGTTTACCCACAAAAAAAAAAAAAAAAAAAAAAATTAAAGATAAGGGTTTTTTTTTTGGGTTTGTTTTTTTTCTAAAGTTACTTTAGATAACTTTATCTAATGTTCATCGAAACGACGTCGTTTTGGGACGGAAATCATAGTATTTTTGTAATTTTAATTTATTTCAGAGTTATAATAGTCTTTGTCATTCTAATTTTATAATTTTTCAACCCAAAACGACATCGTTTCGATGAACATTAGACAAAGTTATCTAAAGTAACATTAGATACTTTTTTCCTTTTTTTTTATAAACAAGATATGGATTCTTTAAATAATAGAGGAAGTAAAAAAGTTATTAAATACCATGAAATCTAAAAAATCAGAAGTTTAATTAGACATATTAAAGTGAAATGGAATGGGATCATTTTGAATATGTACTTTCCTTACATGTATATATTTTTCTTTTCTCTTTATTATTCTAAAAACTCAAACGATATTCGAGTCTGATTAATTAAATGGTTTGACTAATATGCACATTTGTTTTAAATAATTTGACCATATAGTGTTACATGTCATGCTTCACGATATGTGATTTTGCTACCGACACGTCCTGCTGATGATGCTACATCACTTGCCGAGAGCGTGAACAATGCGTGCAACGCACTCATGGGTTCACAGTGGATTAGTAACAAACTAAATTTTAATTTAATTACTATTAATTAATAAAAGACACAGGTTATATTTACAAATTTTTTTATTTACAAACTACACTATCTTCTCTCGGGAGAATACTCGTTACATTATGTTTTCTCGAGAGAACATAGTGTAATTTATAAAAAAATTTGTAAACAGATCATTTCCTTTGATAAAATTTACAAATAAATAAACAGATCAATACTTTATTCACTTAAAATATAAATACACTTTAAAGTAATTAATTACAAATAAATTTCTAATTATTTATGTTTAAATATCAGTTAAAGGACAAGTATAGGATTAATACACATCATTATATCATGTTTTGTTTGATTTTGAGGAAGGATATTGTAACAATCAAGTTGTGTTATTACTAAGTTACTACAAATGAATCTCACCGTTAAATCGATTATGTTGATTCAACGGTTATATTTATTTCTATCTTTGTATGATCATGATTTTTCAAATTTAATACTTTATATTTATTTCCACTTTTATATGGTTATGATTTCTCATATTTAATGCTTTCACTTTAAATATGGAGAATGATAACCATACAAAGATAGAAATAAATATAACCGTTAAATCAACATAATCGATCTAACAATAAGATTGATTGGTAGTAACATGGTAGTAACACAACTTGGTTGTTACAATATCATTCCCCTTTGATTTTATTTTTTTTTATTTAAAAAGTTTTTTTTTTAATTATTTTAAAATGAAATAAATTAAGTGAAACGTGTGTTTGATAAAGAAAACAACTGTAGCTGTTATTCTGATAATATGGGCGTTAACATGATTGCATTCATTGATCCATCAGCAAAGTGGATAATGCCACGTCAAGGAACTAAAAAAACCTCAGAGAAAGAATAGAAATTAGAAAGGCGCGTTATAATTATAATGTGGGATTGACCTCATCGGAATATTCCCTACCGACGGACTGTGTGGAAACACAGGAAACCCTTTCCCGAAAACTATATATAGCGATCTTTCAATCTCCGAAATTTGCCCTAGAAAAATTCCAACAGCCGCAACATGCTCCTCTCTACCAAAACACTCGCTTTCTCTCTCCTCACTCAAAATTCGCGAGCACCCTCGCCAGATTTCGAGGTTTGTTGCTGATGTGAGCGAAGGGTACGGGGGTTTAGGGTTTCTGTTCATGGATGCTGTTGAATTGTCTCTCCCGGTAGACGTGGCGGCCGCACCGAATTTGATGGGATCAGAGGATTCTCGAGTCACAGTCACCCATTCAAGTTCAATTGACTGTTGCAGCTCCCGTCTAAACCAAAATGGTTGGTCACTGGTTATCCTTGTTCTGATTTTGAATATTCATCTCTACAGATTGGTTACTCTTCGAAGTTACCCTTACTCTTTTTTCTTTTCTTTTTTTTTTCTTTTTGCTGATTTGAGCGTGTTTCATTAGCTTTTAGGTTTTGATCTGTGTTGTTATGTTGCTTGATTGATGGTTGCCTTGACCGTTATTAAGTAATGCAAATTTTGAGACTGGGGAAATGTAATTGCTACTACAAAGTAGGTTTCACAATTTCCTTTTATGGATTTGTATAATCTCTGCGTTTCTATTTTTACATAATCTCTCCATTTTTGCACAACCTTGTCATCATCCATCAGATAGATATCTGAAGGCTGAACTTAATGTTGAATATGGAAACACCCCATTGTTATTTTGCCAATTAATGGGATGAGACAGAAACTTATTGGAGTATATATTGGATGCATGCCATATGTGTTAGTTAAACGTTGGGAGTCAGGAGAACTCTGCCAAATGTTGTTGCCTAGTGGTGCAGATGCTCTATCTCTTGCTCAATGCTTGGATTCAAGTCATCCCCGGGTCACTTGGCTAGATTAAACCAATGTACTCCTTTTCCAGTTGTATAACTTTAAATAGTGTTTACTCTTACTGTCTTGAGTATTCATCCAGTGCTACCTGATAGGTCTATATTGGTTTAGCCTATTAATTCCAGTCTTCTTAACATTTTACATAGTCGTCATCTTTTCGCTTTTATATTCGTTATTACATGATTTTATCCAGTCAGTGTTGTTGTGCCAGATGTTGCAAATATGAAAACTGCTGCTGAGTTTCCCTCATGTAATGATATTCTAGAGACTCAAATCTGTAAGAATTCTAGTCAGCTGCCACATATTAAGGTTGAAGAGTTGTCCAAAAGTATACCTGGTGGTAACGGCAAAAATTGCCCTGTAATTACTTCCAGACTGGAAGGTGTACCTTCACAACGAAAAGCAGCAAAATCTAACAGGAGTAATAGTTCATGTTCAAAGAGGCCACGGATGTCCCAGTCAGAAGATTCTACAAGTCCTAATAGAATTGAGGAGTTAAAGTATATTTCTGATAAGCTTGGATCACATAATTTAAAGTGTGCTTCTCCAGGTATTTTTTCCCCCCAAAAACAAATCATCATCAGCTTTCTATCTATATGTCTTAAACTTTTTCCCCCTTGATTTTCTTTTGGTATTAGAGAAAAGTCAGTTACCAAAGCAAAAGAGTAATGCTAGCAAGCGTGGTGATAAGAGGAACTTTAAAGTGCCTTCTGCAAAGGCTAAATTTGAGCCATCCTCGATGAAGATGGGTGCATCAATCTTCAGTTCTTCCTGTGGCGGGAACAACTTTTCTGGTATGTGATTTGATTATTAGGCTTATTATTCCCTCTTTGAAAATTCTCCTGTTGTTTCCCATTCTTTATAAACTTTTTTTTTTTTTTTTTTTTTTTATGTATTCATCTGCTGTGCATCTTACATATTGCGATTGCATGATTTAGTGTAAGAGCTGCAGCTCATTTAACCTGTTTGGTATATGATTTAGGTGTTTTGAGGATTGATTATTTATCTGACAATACAGGTCATTCCATTTAATATTTGGGAAAACCCATCTGAAGTTGTGTGGTTGACTATTGTGCAGTATGCCAGTATAGATGTACATTGTGCATTCTTTTCAAAAACTAATAATTAAATTCATAATGCATCCGAGGCTTTGTTTTTAGAACTGTGGTAAATATATTGAAAGCCAGAAACAGATCTGTTTTGAATCTGTGCTTATCCAGCTTAAAAGTAGCCAAAAGTGTGTATATTGCTTTTAACAGATATTTTTGAACCAGAGTCAAGTCTCAGTAATGTCGTCATTTCTAAAGAAGTTGTGCCTTTTTACATTATTATTTTTTAATAATCTTGAAATCAATATCATTTTGGTTATATTTATGCCACCCTGGAGGCAGTTTATTAATGTTCAGTTCCTTGCACTTGTAAAACTTTAGAGTGTCATTTATTTGTTTAATTATAAATTACAATATTGATTTCTGAGCCAGCTTTTTATACGAGCTTATCAAAATTAAGGCCTCCTAGTAATATGATTGTATTGGTTATCTGTAATACCCGATAGTTAGTATCTAACCCACATGCAGCCATACGTAAGCAAATGATATATTTTCTGATCTGTCATCCCACCATTAGTATCTACAATCCAAGGAAAAAATATACTCTTTGTTTCATTGATACTTAAGAGTTTATAGCTGAGCTTCTCTACCAGAATGCTTTGTCTGTTATTTTTTTTTAATGATTTATAGCTGCGATTACTGAGTACAGCTTAAGTACATTCAAATGGAATTTTTGGAAACCTTGACAGGGTTATATGGTCTGAAACATGATTTTCGTGATGTCACGAAGCTTATGGATGAGCCACCGTTAGATGAGCTCCTAAAGGGCACATTTGTCTGCCCCGTTATAAGCAAAGATAAAGGGAAGAAAGCAAATATGAATGAAAGTTTTTTGAATTCAGTTAGAAAGGCTTGCTCAATCGTTCTCCCAAAGCCTGTTCAGTCCCAAAATATGGCTGAAATGGATTATTCCTCCAATAATAAAATGCCCACTTGCCAATTGAGTTCAGTTTGTGCATTAGAAAGTGTTGGTAATGGGGATAAAGAGCAGTCTTGTACAGCAGACATGTCTTCATGTCAGAAGGTTAGTGTTAAATGGTTTCAAGTATGCGTTCAGTTTTGGCTTTGATAAAATAAATTTTGAATTTTAATGGACTGCTTCATATTTGCTACACTAATTTACTAAAAGAAACTTTTTTCTTGTGCTTGGTCATTTATGCCTACACTAATTTACTTTCACTGATAATAAAACTGTATATGATGTTAATGTGATTTGTACTTATTAGCGCTTAACATCCAGGATCCTTGTAGTGAAACAGAAAGTACAGCTAGTCCACTTGACTTTCCATTATATCAACCTAAGGATATCTTGGAACGGATTGCATTCCATCCATTTCGGGATCTGGAGTCTTTGATGCTTGATGTGCCCAAGCCTGCCATTACCACCAAGAATAGTAATGACCTACGTTCAGGCAAGCAGGTATCTTGTCGGCCAAGCTTGCCAGCCTTTCCATGGTCACATGCTTTTGGTGGTCATTCTAGAACTAATTCTGACACAGTTAAGTTATCAACAAGTAGAAGCACATGCCAAGGTAAATGGGCGAGGATAGGTCTCATTGCTAGCTCTGCAGATATTGACCGCAGTTGCTTCACAGACCTTGATTCATTCAGTTACGATCAGAGCCTTGTTCCTTCATCTGGTTGTTCAGACAAACAAAATTTCCAATCATTATTTCCTAATCTTCCTTTCCATCAGTTGGATTCTTCATCTTCTGTTACATGTTCTAAAGATTCTCAGGTTAATGCAGGTATAAGTTTTTCTCAGGCTACCTGAATTTTTTACTGTTCATCTGTGCTGTTGTCTTTTTAGTCGCTCCCCCCCCCCCCCCCCCCCCCCCACACCCCCACACCCCCCCCCCCCCCCTAAAAAAAAAAACACCTCTTCTTCATTCTCTCTGTTGGAGTCGTGTGACTGATCTCTGTCCTGAAAATGCAGAATTTGGAGGCCAAGTAGATACTAAAGGAAAAAATGGTATGATGTCATTGAGTACAACACATCTTTTGCATGTGTACACTTGTTTGTCTTTTTGTGTACATCAATTTTTTTAACCGAGATAATATACTGAAGTTGCTATTAGAGTGACACTTCCTGCTTAACATTTTTGTTTATGACAGACGAGCATTGTCCAAGAGTATTAGCTGCGGCACAAACTATCTGTGACATTGCATCTTCCTCACGGAGGCAGGGCCCAGATGGAATTTTGAGATGGCAAAGGAAAACTTCACATAAGGCCATGAAAGCTTGCTACTTTAAATCAACTGAGAAACATGAAGAAATGCCTTCGACACCTATTTCAGTGATTGGATCCGACATGGTGGCCAGAAGTAAGGAACAGATAATGTCCTCAAAGAAGCCAAGGTTCACCATAGTCGAGAATAAGAATAGTAATCACTCCAATAATGTTAAGAAAGGACCCTGTGCGTGGCCCACTTCAAAATCAAGTAGATCATTACCCCCTAAACAAATTAGGGACTCGAATGTGGAAAACAAACGTACAAATGCCAGCATCTTGAAGCAACATTGGATGATGCCCCCACCTTCGAGTGATTTGGGTAAGGCTTATGATGGTCAGCAGCAGGTCGGTAAATTAGTATTGATGGATTGGAAAAGGGCAAGGGACAAGTCAGATTGATCGATCATTATTGACTGTAGACACATTAGTGGCTGGCAGCTGTTGTGGGATTAGCAATTGTTAGGTTAGTAAAAGGCTGCTTTGTATATATTATGCTGTGGCTGCAAGCCTGCGATGTATTTGTTGCTAGTGTTCATGTTCAAGGGCAAACATGATTCAAATGTTGTAACATTAAACACAGGTGTATAAAACAGCAGAGTTCTTTGCTTACTGGAGAGCACAGAGGCAATAGCGAGATGAAGTTCTCTTGTTGTGTGTGTGTGTGCATGTGTGCTCGTCTTTTATGAACTGCATGCACCTATTCTATAGTGTGCTTCCTCTACTATTATTTTCCTGATGTAATTGCTAGTGCCAGTGCAGGTGTGAATCACACACAGTAGTGCCCAATTTTTGGGTATTGCCTGGTTACAAGAATATGGTACAACGATAGAATTCCTTCCATATGCAATTTGGTATTTGTTTTGAGTGAACACCAACTTGGATAATAGGGTAAGTGTTTTTGATAGGTTGCTGATGAATGCGATGTGGTACTGGTCAAGTGTGGTTCTGATAAATGTGTAGGCTCAGTAGTGATGACTGAATGTAATGTAATTCTCATTTAGTATTGCTTGTGTATTTATAATAGCTATTATGAGCGGTTATAGGAGGGAATGGTGGGTGGAGAACGGTTATCCAGATGTGTTCATGGCAGTTGCATAAAAGAATGGTGATCGTAGGATTAAACCCATGATCCGGGCTTATGATCAGATTCCATCCCGGGCAAGGGAGCAACTCGGTTATAAGCCCAAACCTGGAATGAGGCCCAGGTATAGGCTCAAGAGGAATAACGGGTAAAACACCCGGAACAGTATTTATACGTTATATATTGAATTAAAAACAGTTTTCAGTCTTTTAAGGCATTTACAGCGAGGATACAGTCTGATGTGTGCCGTTTGAAGCATAGGCACGAAATGAATTTCATTACTATGAATTTTATCCATTACTGATATATACTTTGAGAGATTAAATAGCATACTATTTCAATTGGTTTTTTTTCCTCTTTTATCGTTTATCTCTCCCGTGCTGGTTTTAAATCCCTTTCAAGTAAAATGTTTTACCAGGTACAGAAAGTGGAAATGTAATACTCAAGAGTGTTAACTTATGAGAACATTTGATCCAGTAATAAAACGAGTGCCATGGCAAAGCCAGGATCAAACCCGGGATGAACAATTAACTGAAAAATCTCTATCCCGAAAGAGACGTCTTTGCTATTGGCCTCCTTCCTCTTGATTTCAGCTACGGCCCTTTTGCATTCATCCAACACCTTACATGTCCTATGCGCATAGGAACCTTCAACGGTAAACACCGTATGTCGTTTATCAGAATCTGATGCTACGCGGTACACGCAAGCCTGAACCTTGGGATTGCCGTTTAATATATTCACTCGCTTCCTTACACAACAAAATGGACTCTCACTTGACTCACCGAACTTACTCCTCGTACGCTGATCCCCCATTTCCCCTTTATACACGAACCAGCTATCTACTAATCCAAACTTGAACAATCAAATCAAAACATGTCAACAATACCATTTTAAATGGCATTTTGTATAATGACAGAAATAATAATTTTTTTCTCTCTCTATAATTGCATTTAATTTGATCCTTAGATAAATGCTTGATTAGGATAGATATATACATATAAAGAAGAAAAGTGATAAACTAGTGGATGTCTGTCATACCCTGCGTTGGCGGCGCACGGTGAGGACACATTTTCCGGAAGCGTCCATAAGAATGAGTTGGTGGGGATGCAGGATGTAATTGTCAACACGATACACGAGGTTTCCATATGAATCGATCACGGTGAATCCCTTACAACTAAGTAGAAGGGATTTTCTCCAAACTGTTAGGGATGTGCACAAACTTGCTTCTGTTATAAGGTACTTGTTTCTCTCCCCATCAACATGCTCACTTTCTTCTTGTTCCTCGTGCACTGCTCTTGATAGAAATTTGAACACCCTCATAGTCATATTCATGGTCATAGATCTCTCTGCTCTTTCTGTTTCCTTCGCTCTGCGTCCTGTGATCTTAATGAACACTGTGTTACTATTTACAATACAGCTAGCCAGCTAGCTAGATAGATAGACTCCAGTGTTATATTATATCTATAACAAGAAGATCCTACGTGTTTACACCACTTAAAATTGACACGTTTTCAACGAATAAAAAAAGATGTAAGTTGGCTTATAATTATGCTCCTAGTACGAGTGGATTAGCAGTTAAGCACACAGGCTCTTTCGGAAGCTAGTATAGGACGAGAACATGGATGAGTCAGATGTGTCCTTTAGAAAAGTTACTACCGTCGTCTAGGACCAGATCCATTGTTCTTCACTTCTTTCTTTTGCTTTTTAAGGCACAATTTGAAGTATGAACACTTTATTCTAAGTCTGCGTGCTCATATTATATATTATACAATAATGCTAGGTATGTATCACTTGCGTTTACAACTGTTGACATATTCAGGGTTTTTAGATTGCGGCTGATTCTACAAATACAAATACACTTAAGGGGCGAAACACTTGTTAGCGGATGTGTCTCAAAGATTAATCTTATCCTACCACCAATTTGATACGCCCTCTGTTACAATGAGGTGGCTGGAGATGTTAAGTGGAGATTCCTCCTGAATTTAGAAATAAAAATATATATATAATTTGGTGTTGGAAAATGTATTTATAAAAAATACCAAATACATCCGTCCAAGTATTTGGAATATAATAATTATCTTCCTTATATCAGATATTGCAAATACAGGCAGCTTTTTTCCTCAAAAAATTATAAGTAGATTTAGGTGATGGGTAATATCATTTTAAACTTAAATGTTTAAAAAGCAAAAGCATATTAACAACATGTGAATTATTCTATGATACTAAATCATTTATTTTATTTTATTTTGGATAAACCATAGATAGCCTCCACATGAGACAATCATGTTAAGAGCGGGTCCAAAATTAAAATTTTAAATCATTCCCAAAATAGTGAGGGAGAATCGAATACATATTTTCACATACACCTGCTCAGCTCTCGTGTGTCAACTAGCTACCATCATTTGGTGATACTAAATCATTTATGTTCATATAAAATATGAACAACATATCTTTAGAATGTGTAGATCTTCAAATCAATTCTTCTAACGCAAGGGCCAGCTTGATCCTCTTCCCCAGGATCCCAGATGAGGAAACCCTAGGAGAGCACGAAGGCTTCTTATTCCACAACAACGAAAGCGGGTGTGTGTATACACTTATCGTTGTCCTTACTCTAAACATTGGTCTTATAAGAATCTAGACAATTCCAATTTTCTTCTACATTTAATTCGTATTAATTAAGTTTTTTAATCTTTATTCTAATTTAAACACAAGAGCACAGCCAGTAGGAAAAGTCCAGTATACTGATGGTAAGAAAGATACCATATATTTTTCATGTTTACGGATATATGATGTTTCTACACCAAGGTTATGATTTCTGAAATGTCAAAATAGGCTGATGTCAATAAGCCAAACCTTGGAAGAATCTAGACTGGCCCGAGTCACCTACCTTAGTGGGTAGGTATGCTACCCCACACCGTCAGCCCCTTGGATTAGGCCTTCTATTTGCAGGCCTTCAACTTTTTGGGTTGAAAGATCCATAACTTTTCCTCCTCAATTTTCTGGAAGAGGTTGTTTTTACACGATTTGGAGATTCCTTTTCCTCTTGAACCATTAGTATTATGGGTGAAAGCTGTATCCCAACATTAATGACATGTTATCCTATATGTTAGAAGAGATATACAACTTGGAAGAATTGGGAAGTGAGATTTACGTGGGTTCCACTTTGAACAAATTAAGCAAGTGGGTGTAAAGAACTTACTAAAGTCCCACATTTTGCTTCTGGGGTGGCTTTGAAGTTTAAAGGTTACCCAAGCCTATAAATAATAGGTCCCTAAAAATGCTTCAAGAACAAAGTGAACGTATAGGACAAGCAATAGCAATTAGTATCTATGGGAGATATATATGTGCATTTGGCTTCATTCTATTCTGCTAAGTGCTAACCCAGTAATGGGATTGAGCTATACCTATTTGTCCTTTTTCTTGGTGAGTAATATCATTAATATGACATTCATTTAATAATTTAAATTATTGGATTAAATTTGTTGCTTTATATAATATTAAAATCTCTGTGACTAAGATTGAATTATTCACCCTCACTCTTCTAATAAATATTTAATAATAAAATGTATTAACACAAGTAGTTGGATATATTCGTCAAAAATACATTATAATCTCAAGCATAAATGTTAAATTTATTTGTATATCTTATATGCGTATACAACATCAACTTATTGTTTACATTCGGCTTAATTCGTTTAAGTTGGGATAATTGCACATGCAACGCCAACAGTGGTCATAATGTGAATTATTCGAAAAAGGAAAATGTTAAGCATAGTATGTTATCTAATGACTTATAAAATAGCGTAATTATGTGATTGAAAATATGTGCAAATATTCGGGTGCTTCGGGGGCAAAGTGGCTTGACCCAGTCCAACCCCCTCCTAATGTGCCCAAAACAGGACGGAGGAGTTGACTTGCTCTTAAAAATGGTTTGAAACGTCCCGTTGTATGATTGTTTGATGGGTTAACCCGTATCAAAAATTAAAAAAATAAAAACTTAAAAATAAATATTATTTTATGAGTTTTATAATATTATTCAATTTCATTTCATACTCTCGTTATTTTTTTTTAATCCTAAATCTAAAATTATATTAATATTTTGTCTCACAATATCTAAGAACTCATTTTTATCTTCATGTATGATAAACTTTATCATAAATAAAATACTTTTTTCTTTATCTTCTGGAGAGGAGAAATAAGATAATTTTTTTGGATATCACAAAACTTGACATGACAAATGCAATGTTACTCGATACTAAAAAAAAAAAAAAAAAGACCCGTTGGGTTCAACTCGTTGTGGGACGAATCACGATGAGTTGAACCTATTTGATTTGACCCACCTCTATGCAGGTGCTCAAACAGGTTGACAGGTTGAAAATTTTAATCCAACCCGCCATTTGTGGATTGCTTAAATGAGCCAACTTGATGGTTGGACTCGTTTTATCACCTCTACCAATGACTACTATTATAGTAAGACATACCAAATTTATGTTTTAAAATAAATAAATAAATAAATATATATATATATATATATATATATATATATATATATATATATTTAAAAGCCTGGTTTATAACTTGCATTGTCATGCTTAGTTTGTAACTTACATCATCAAGCCTGGTTTATGTGTGCGATGCCCAACTTAAAATGCGTGAGAAAGGCATTGTCATGCTTTGAGAAGCCTAACGCGTTAGCCCATTTACTTCTACCGTATGTATCTGAACCCATGTTACATTTTCAAATAAAGTGACGCATCAAAGTACAAAATATTTTAATAGGTTTGATGATGTTACATTTATAACTTGCATATGTATATCATGCTCTCTTAATAATAAATACATAATATCTAATTGTGTAACAATAAGAGGCCAATACATATCTTAGTAAATGTTAACATTACATATTTTTTAATACACTCTTAATTATTAAATAAATTTTACATGATTCACAGTAAATGATTTAAATCTATTTTTTATTTAGTGAGAACTAGGTGAAATTCATATAATAATAAAGAGAGTGTAAGATAGTGTATTGTTAACAGAAATTCCTCTCATGTGAAAAAAAGCATGACATGATCACGTAAGAAGATCACAATCATATAAAGGTGAATGAATGATTATAATTTTGTAACTATCTATTTCAATATTTTTTTCTCTCTATTCTTTTATTACCATTGATCTACCTTTATCATAAAGGTAAAGGTCATGTCATATTTTTTTTTTTCACATCAGAAGATTCAAATCTATTGTTAACGTTCATTCCTTTATTCATAAATTAAATGAGTTTACTTTTTATATATTATTAATGTAAAACTGTTTTATACTACTATTTAATTGTGTGTTGATACTTCATTTAATAAATTTAATTTTTATAGTAATTATATAAACAATGTAACGACGTATTAATATTTAAATAAACCATTGGTTTAAATACTTAAAGAACTTTGAATTATTACAAAAATTTATATTTCCTCTGCGACCAATTGTATATGTTTATTGGTTCTTCCAAGACGTAGGCTTATTAATAATTTATTCATGTCAAATTCTATATTATTTTCACTTTATAGTAATTATCTCCAGTGAGTTCAAAATGACGTCGTTTTGAGATTATAAGATTAAAAAAATATAATGATAAAGACTAAAATAACCCTACAATATATTATAATTACAAAAACGACGTTGTTTTGGGCTCACTGAAGATAACTTATCTCTATTAACTAGAGAGATCCTTTACCCATTATTTTTTTGTTCTTTTTAAAAACATTGAACACTTTGGGCCGGAGGAATATGAAATAAAAGACTACAGTACAAAAAGACTAAAGTGCTTGAATGAAATTAGATTTGATTTTTAGACAGAGTTTAAATAAAAAATTAAAATTTTAAATACAATTATATACTTAATGTAGTTTGTAAGAGTTTATAAACAAAAAGTTTGTAAATATTACCTTCCTAATTATATATATATATAACGTATTAAGTGAAAAAGTAAAAGATGAGATGAATTAGTTTTAATAATTCAATCATACATGAATAATTAATATTAAATTTAAATAAATTAATGTTAATGATCTATATAAAGTTAAATTATCCATATTAAACTTTCATACTTCTCATACTATGAACTCCATATATACATAGACACCACCAATTGTTGTCAATCTTGGAACTGAAAACATGGTTAAAAATAAAAATATATGGTCAATGGCACCAACAAGTGATAGAATTGCCCTCAAGATAGTAATGCTCGTTGCTCATCCTGGTCGAATTGCCCAACCCTGGCTGAATTATTCAGGTTTGATTGGACTTGGATTCATCTTTAG